CCGGACTCCAGGGCTGGTCCCGGCGGCCCGAGGGCGGAGGCCGCGGCGGTTAGGGACCGGGCCTGCTCTGCAGTGGGAGCTCTAGCGCAGAACGTCCGCCCTCCCTCCGCCCTTGAAGGGAGACGCAGCAATGTCCTAACCCAAGTCCCCTCTAGTTGTCACCTGTCTACTCCCCAGACCAGAACATCCGCTCTGACCCACTTGCACGCCTTCCTGCCTTCACCCCCCTCCAGGAACCGCCCTGGCGGGTCCTCAGCAGCCCGGGGGCTGCCCAACCCCGAGGTCCCCTCTCCACCCTCCCCTCCTCAGCAGGGGATGCTGCTCCCCTCGGTTCCCAGGGGCCCCCACGACCCCGTGTTCTACTTCCCCGCAGCTCCTTTGGTCAACACCCAGATGTGAGGGTAGAATGTCACTGCCCTGCTCTGTGTACACTCGACCCACCCAGATGTGAGGGTAGAATGTCACTGCCCTGCTCTGTGTACACTCGACCCACCCAGATCCAAGGCTTCCTTCGCCCGCTCCCCGCTCAGGTCAAGTCCTACGTGTCAGCACCTTCACTTGGATGTCACATTTCAACCAACATGGCCAAACCCGAACTTTTCTTCCAATTCACCCAACCCTCACCAGAGCTCCTCATCTCAGCAGAAATGGCTACTATTCTCCCAGCTGTTGGAGGCAAAACCCCCCAACTCGTCATCGACTCCAGCCTTGTTTCTGCCTCTGACACGCGCCCAAGTTGTCCTGTGTTTAATTTCCAGGGACACTTTTTTCTGGGGAACACTGCAACGCCCCAGCCCTTGTTCACGCTTTGCATTCTGTCACGCCTCCCTGTCTGCTCCCAGCTGACTTCAGGACAGACTCCTGTGCTGGCTGGGAGGGTCTCCATGCACAGACAGGCCTGGGCATCTTCCTTAAGTTCTTACATGGGCCAAAGCAGTGCTTTGCCACCCAGGCTGCCTATTAGAAAGATGTTTTAAAAATCGCTGATACACTCCCAGTGATGGGTTCAACGGGTGTGAGGTGGGGTCCAGGCACGGGTTTGGAGGGCTGTGACAGCATCCCCATGATTCTGGCTGGTGTGCAGCCAGTGGGAGAGCCACCTCTGCTTGCCGCTGGGACCAGGCAGGGCGGAGGACCGCAGGTGTGTGGTGACTGTTTCATGTTTTAGTGCCTGTTTGACTCGGCCTGTGATACGAACTTGCTATATGAAGACAACAAAATCCCTGCTTCAGGGGGCCCACCCCAGGTTGCACCTTTTCCCAGGCCCCCTTTCCATAGATGGGCAAATGCCCATCGCCCCAGTGATCCTGGGAGGAAACATGGTGAATGGCTCTCTGGGAAGGGGCAGGCCTGGGAACATGGACTTAAGAGACTGGTAGGCACAAAGCCTTTCTCAAAAAGGGCCAAGGGGCCGGCTGGTGTGGCTCCGTGGTTGAGCATCCACTGATGAACCAGGAGGTCATGGTTCGATTCCGGTCAGGGCACAAGCCGGGGTTGCAAGCTCGATTCCCAATGTGGGGTGCGCAGGAGACAGCTGATCAATGATTCTCATCATTGATGTTTCTCTCCCTCGCCCTTCCTCTCTGAAATCAATAAAAATAAAAAAAATAAAAAGGGCCAAGGTACCCTAAAGATAAGCAACTTGAAATCAGCACCTTGGTATTCACAGGCAACTACCTTGCCCAGCTGTGCCCCAGACGCAGGTGCAGTGCGTGTGGCAGATATAAACCTCGAGCCCACACTCTCTTCCGTGATGTGATGGGTGCAGGATTGGCCCTGTCCGCAGGGGCGCCCGCCTCCCCCACCCGCTCCGTCGCAGCTTGACCCGCAGCAACTGTGCTGCCCTTGGACCACCCCTTTCGCTCTCGCCAGCACTTGGGGCCGCTACTCACGCGCGCACTGCAGGCCCTTGCGCACGACGCCCCAGATGAAGTCGCCGCAG